AAGTCTGAACGTGATTTTGAAAGTAGAAGAGTGGTTCTCATGCAAACATGCCCAAGTTGCATTTCACCCCAAAATCAGACAACAATAAATATATAATATCTATTTCATTATTTATATACTTGTATTTAGCTAGGATACATTAAATTGGCCAAAAGTGACAATTAAGACATGTTTTATGAATTCTATTTCAAATAAATGCTGATCTTTTAGAACTATCAAAGAATGTTAACAAAGAGCACAAAATCAGCATATTAGAATTATTTTTGAATGACTGATGAAAATGTAGCTTTGCCATCATGGGCATAAATTGCATTTTTAAATATATTCAAATAGAAAACAGTTATTTTAAACTCTTTCCTGTATTTGCGATTAAAGCGGCAGTCCGTAACTTTTTTTTGTGTTCAAAATTTACAAAATTTATATAATAAGCGAGTACATCATGAATCCATTTTCCAAACCGTGTTTTTGGCTTGTCCTGAATCACTACGGTACACCTATAATAAGTGTTTATATTCGGACTATTTTAGACTGGTTCGGGTAGGTACCGCTGCGGAGTAGCCCAGTACCTGCGTGATTCGCCATAGACATAAACAGAGAGAAGTAGCTCCGGCTACAATGTGCTTCCGCAAGACGCACGCAGTTCTGTTTATTAACCGCTAGAGCGCCAAAAGTTACGGACTGCAGCTTTAAAGATATGCCGTCTTAGTGAGACTAAAAGACTTCTTTCAAAAATATTTTAAAAAAATCTTATCAGCCCCAGATGTACATATCTATTCAATTATATGACATATATATAACAGGCTAAAAATATAATTTCTGTCATTTGATTTTGGGGTGATATTTGGCGAGATTCACTGAGAGAGATTTTAATTTTGATTTGATAGTGTTTGTGATTATTTTTAAACACAGCATAATGTTTGTGAGTATGTTTAAGGAGAAATGACTCCTGTCTGATGTATCCACTGCATGAAATAATGATTTTATGATGATGGTAGTTCACGTTAACCAGTAAGATCTTATTAACTTCCTATCAGTAGGAATCTTTAGTATCAATGCTGAATCATGGTTAAATATTGTTCCCTTTATAAAAGCACAGTCTGATTGCTGCAACTAGAGCATTAGCAGTGGTGCACCAGAAACTGCCCTGAACGACAAGATCCCCCATGATGCTGTGCTTCCATCCCCAGGCTTTCACACGCACAGCTTTGTAGCTTTTGAGCGGATGTCTGGGCTGACAGCAACACTTTTCAAGCACTTACAGATCACACCGTTACATGATCTCCAAATCTGCAAGGTATCACAAAGTAGCAGAAGGGGGAAGAATTGAATTGTCTTTTTTAGCAGCTGTGTACTTGTGTCCAGTCAGCGTGATGTTTCCCTTGTGATGTAATGAAAGTGTCATCTGTTTGTAACAGTTTATATGAGTTCATTACTTACATGGCAGCATTTATAAATAATGTACATAAGTGTAAACCCTTTATATTATAAGCACATCTATAGTTTGTATATTGTAAATAGTCAGATGATGTTTAGTCTGATGATTAAAACGTAATAATTTTAAAAAAGGCTTTTTAAAAAGCCAGTTTATGTCTTTATTTTCTTTATTCTCAGTATCGAGTACATTGCTGGCAGTTAATGTACTGTAAACAATGTTCAAATAAACGAAAAGAATAAATAATATTCATTCATTCTTGATTCAGTCTGCAGCTGTATTTCTCATATTCATGTGTTTATTTGATGTCTCTGTGGCTCACTGAACAGGTGAACAATGCAAAGGGGAGCTATTAAATGCTCTGTTTACGTGCCATTTAGCAGATCTATTTAAAGCAACCTTGCAGGTTGAGATGAGGTGTCTTTTTCAAGGGCACAGTGGTCTGAAAGCAGTTCCTGGGAGCAAACTTACAGATCTTCTCTTCCACCGTCAGCAACTGTCTCTTTTCCTTCCTGCTGATTGTCCACTTAAGTGTAAAGCTGTTTATGTCAAAACAGAATATTGCCTTGAAGCAGCAGTTTCCTGAAAATGTTCACATGATTTGTGTTTCCTCTTCACAAGAAAATGTGCAGATAATCTATTTGAATGCATTCGATCTGACAGACATGCTGAATTCCAAAAAGATACTTAAGTTGAATGTATATGACCTCAATACACCTTTTAAAATAGAGGTACTTTATTGGCACAATGAAAAACCTGTAAAACCCATGGAACCTTTCTATTGGACAAAAAGTTCTTTATAAGTTATATCTTTAGATTATTTGTTTTTCAAACTGAGACAAAAAAAAAAAAGGTTCTTTAAACAATGATTCACTGAAAGGTTCTTTCAGAATCAAAATGTTTCTTCTGTGGCATTGCTGAAATTGCACCAATTTATCTAAATTTGTTTCCCTATAACTCTGTTTACCTGCATGTGTTATCCAACTATAATCTGATAACCCATAAAGACACCAGGAAAATTTCATTTCACAAGGAAATTATGCAGTTACACTTTTATACTCTTTCTTTCAGTTCTGTTTATCCACCTTATTTAAAGCTGCAGTCCGTAAGTTTTGCCTCTTTGTCGTCATCTCTGTTTGAAAACTTGGAATTGCAGTTACTCGCGGAATTATCTAGTGGGTTGTACTCTGGCACGGCTCCAGTGCAGATGAATCGAATGTTTTGAGGAGTATGTGTGGCAGTCAGTCACCGCACAGGTGTGAATCCTATACTTAGTAATCACAGATTCTAGCCTACATCTTGGAATATATGACCCAAATAAGAATTTTCACCGGATATTGTCATCTGAACAAGTAACAAGTCTGCCACGTTTGTTCTGACCAACTGAGGAAAAAAGCATTACAAAAAAATCGCACTACCAATGGTGATTTAATCTAACGATCGATTTGCTCATTTCACATCAAGCCGTGCAAATTATTATTGATATACTTTATTCTCAGATTATTAATGTTAACAACATCAGCATTGCATGGCTATGAGTATAGTGTGTGTGTGTAGATTTCAATTTCTGTACAGTCTAATATCTAATTGTCATACCATTCGAATTTCATACCAAGAAATTATTTTAACCCAAAAAGCAAACTATGCTCCCTTCGAACTGGTCGTCTTAAAAATACAAATCTTTTGTAATCCCAGGCTATCTGTAATCAGAATTTAATTTCATTCACATGTGTTTCATATAATCCTTTCTGGATTACAATCCGCCATCAAAATGATTTTTTGACATTTAATTATTCTAGCTGCTGTGAGAAAAGGCTAACGATCCGCCACCTGCAGGATCCTCACACGCCATAGCCTATTAGCCTGGGACAACTTCTTTATGTTTACAGAAGTGACGTAATGACGCAGCAGCATGCTCAAAATTCGCGAAAACCTACCAGTACCTCTCAAATTAGATAACATTATTATAAGCTAACCATTGTGAATCTGGCTAAAGTAAGGCGATAGTTTTGAACACTGGCTGGTTATGTACTTGCTCAAATATTGATTTTGGATCATTTTTAACCAAAAAAAGTTAAGGACTGCAGCTTTAAGGGGTGCTGCCGTTTCTTACTTCAATGTGCGAAACTTCCGGTGTCATTAGCTTCCTATTATTTTAGCAGTAGTAGCTGAACTCTTTATGCTGTTTGACATTTCAAAATGGTATTTCTTATTATGTCACACATTGGTTTGTAGCGCAAATAGTTTTACCGTTTACTACACGATTCTTCTAATCATTTACATATCGCCGCTAATAAATCAGAAGTCTCACACATTCGCAGAAATTTCGAGTTGCAAAATAAGGTGGAAATTGAGTCATGTCTTTCTATCTGAGTTTAGAAATAAAGACTTAAGATGCAAAAACAATCACGGGGGAGAAACCAACAGTTTCAGCTATTAAACTCAACTGTTAACAGTTCAAAAAATACGTTTTGAATAACTTAAACAAGCTAAATGGAATTTAAACTGGTGTCTAAAGTAAAGTATAACTTAAGATAATTTCAGACACACGGGGGCGGTATGAAACACAGACAGGTCTAGCTCTCTGTAGTAATGATGTTTGCTTTATCTAGGCAAACGATGGAAATGCACTCCATATGGAAAAATCATTGCGAGCATTTATTTTAAACAAGGTTTTATCTCCTGCCTAAGCGCAAATCATACAGAACACATGCTGAATTCAGTGCGTCAATATTGACATAAGTCTCAACAAAAGACATTTCTAAAAGAGGCCCTAAAGAATGTCATTTGTCACCACTGAAGGGCAAACAAGAGAAAAGCTGTACTACACACATCACACATACACAGGCCATTTTGTGTAAAGAAACCTCCTAAAATAGTTTAGTTCTTATAATAAATGAATACAAATGAATAAATAGCCCACCAAATTTAAAAAGAAAGTTTAAATGAATTTATAAAATTAATTCAAATAAAATTCTTACCAAACCGCTTTAAATATTATTTTTACACTGTTCTGTAATTAATTAGCTGTTATTTTGTTATTTATTTTGCTATTCAAGTTAATTCGGGTGTAAACAGTATACTTAAGTGTTTCCCACAGACTTGCACTCTATTTGTGGCGGCATATATTATATGCAAATTCATTCTCTGCCAGCAGGAGGCGCTGTTGGAGTGGTAGAGATCGAGGGTTCCCCGGTAACGGCTGCACACAAAGCAGTGCTCCACTCACAAACGCTGCTTTATCAGACATTACACGCAAGATGAAATGAAAATGACATCCAAAATTTTCTGAAGACAGTCGGTTTCCTTCAGAAAAACAGTGATATAAAAACACCCCGTTTCCATTTTGAAATGTGCAGTGCTCATGTTTATTCATCGAAGTCAAAGCCTTTTGGAAAATCTATTTGTGGTGGTCAGTTTTGATATTGTGGCAGGTGCCACAAATAAATCAATGTATGGGGAACACTGTACTTGATATTTTCTTTAAACTGGAATACTGCGGAAAAACTACATTTCCCATGAGCACCCGCGGTGGGCGTATCAGAGAGGGGCTGGCTGGCAACGCGTGAGGAGCCCAACACTTCAGAACTGTCTTCTGCTGTGTGTGTGGCAGAGAGCAACTTCTCGGCAGACCTGGGGTGTGGCGGCTTTGAAAACACTGAAAGAAATCAGAGACCGCTCAACGTTAGCTACCTAACGGCGCATATTATTCAAAACCCTCGGTGATCAGTGAACGAACGGACTTAACCGAGCAAGAAAACAACGGGGATTTTTGCATTTTCCGATTCATTCAGTTTCTCGTCGCCGATTATCTCTTATAGTTCGGTTTGCTTTTTAAACACCTGAGCACAAGGGGTTGATCTCAACTTTTTAAAAAAACTTTTGGGATTTGTGGATATGAGTTTTTCTCCCTCCCTGTCCGCGTGATGTAAAACTCCAGCGTCTGGCTACTTGGTTTCTCTTGGGAGCCTTAAACGTCAAAACATTCCAGGTGTTGTCCTAATCTGAGTATCTTAAATATATACATTACATTTTTTTTCCAATCCCAAAACGTCTTTTGAAAGATTTTTCGGACGTATAAAACGTCAGTTTTGGATCTACTAGTCTTTTAAAGACATTTCCCCTCCTTGGACATTTTTTTCAAAGCCAAAAGAGGAAGTTAGTCACGGAAGACTATTTAAAAACCTCCAGTCGCTTTAAAGGGTTATACCTTTTCGTTTTTTTCTCCTAAATCTACACTCATAAATCCGTCGCCCTGAAGCGCGCATTCGGAACCATGGGCTGTACTGTGAGCCAGGAAGATAAAGCCGCGGCAGAGCGGTCCAAAATGATTGACAGGAATCTGCGCGAGGACGGCGAGAAAGCCGCCAAAGAAGTGAAACTGCTGCTGTTGGGTGAGTGACGAATCTCAGATAACGGTCAGCGACTCAAAGCTGCTGTAAAATATCACGTTTATAAGCACCCTGTCACGTCGATAAGTCTCTGTTTGACTGAGGAGCTCGTTTTAAACGTGTTTAGGGAGACGTTCTTGCGAAGTTTGAAGGCAAGCTTCTAGGTTAATGCATGTGTGTCAGGTTTCCTCCTCAGGTGTGGCCTGCGAGAAACTGTCAACGGATTTGAAGAAAAAATGTCAACTACGATAGAGCAAGCGTTTACTTGTTTAGCAGTTTAAGTGGCACATACTTCACTAGTTTTTGTTTTCCAGTTATTATTGTTTTTTACTCAAAATTTGACCTGAGGCATTGTGCAAAATTGGTTGAGATAAACTTGTCATTTGAGAAGCTTAGTTACCCAAGAAACTCTGTGTGTTTGTGTTAGATATGTTGACACTCATTTTTGGCACTCAACAGGTTAGTGTTATTGCTTCAGAAGGTTACCAGTTACTTTCTGTAATCATGACTATTGACTATTCCATGCCTCAAATGGAAGAATGAGATTTATGTAGCAAGCCAAAAATGTTAAAAATAATCATAAAATAGTGATCTTCAAAGTAGCCACCCTTATTTACATTATATTTACCTACATGTGTTTCACAAATGCTCTTATCCGAAGTGACTTGCATTGCATTCAAGGTACATATTTACATTTTTATCAGTTCTTCCTCTTCCTGGGAATCGAACCCGTGACCTTGGTGTTGCTAATGCCATGCTCTGCTGTTTGAGCCACAGTTCCTTCATGTGGTGCATACTGAAGGATGTATGTTGGGCACATGTTGTTTGTTTCTTCATTATTTGGTCCAAACATCCATTTTAAGGATTTGATTTAGATCAAAAGCTATATAATCCTGAGAAACAAATTGACTGTAGTGTGTCCAAACTTTTGCCCTGTGGTGCATGTGCAAAACTTTCCCAATCACAGAGAAACAGCAGTATGTAGATGTGGAAACTGGTTATTTCAGTGTGACTTTAAGGGGAGAGGTTGAAGGAATGTTTTGACAGTGCCTGTGATCACTCTCAACATCTCTTGTGGTGCAGCATGGCCACACACACTCACACCCAGCGTGCACTTTGGCCTGGCCTGAACTGTGTTTTAACAGAAATGCAGGAATTCTTCTGTGGGGGGAATGTTTTCGGAAGGCTTAGAGCCCAAACAGAAGCCTGGAACATCCACCCTGAGCCAAAGAACGTGTTGGAAGTAGATTTTTGGCAGGGGTTGTCGTGTATTGTACCTCTTTGCATGATTGTTAAGGACTCTTGCTGAGAAATGAAATACTTGATGTGGAGCTTTTTATGAGGAGTTTTAAAGCCTTTTGAATGTTACTTTATGAAAGCAGAAAATTGCTTTGGTGTACCACTGAGTTGACTTTTAAAAACATATGTGAGGGAGACGATGTCATGCCCAGCAGTTTTTGGATTTGCACAGTCATTTTGTTTGTTTTCCCCTCTCCTTCACATTTAATATGTCAAACACAATCTGTTAGTTATCTTTCAAAATGGTGTTTGTGCCAGGTGAATTTGAAGAGTTTAACAGCCACAGATATTTTGCCATTTGTATAAATAATGTATTTTTGTCCCACTGACAATGACATTACTGTTTTTTCTTCCATATGTATGATAAACACCTTCAGCATCATATAGAGGATGATCCATTTTCAATGCCGGTCACAAAAACCTAAGACTCATCATGATTTTGATTCTGATATTTTTGCTTTGTTATGGAGAAGCTTATGGTATCATAGATAAACTGATGAACTTAACATTCCCACTCAGACTGTTTTTTTTACCAATTTGAGTATTAAATTTACACCATTGTTTTAAGCTTTCTAATGAGTCAATCTGCAGGACACCTACTCGATTAAGTAACAGTGAACAATCCTAATAATAATATTTCTCCTGTCAGTAACTACACTTAATTCTAGGTCTCAGTGGGCTGTGCTCTAATAGCAGACGTGGAGAGTAAACACTAGGTTAGGGATTTGAGTCACTGTCTGAGGATGTTTAAATGACGCACATCTAGACAAGTAACTCATTACTTTTAAATGGGAAGTGACAACAGAATTTTTACATACTGTACATTAAACACCTTCAGCATCATATAGAGGATGATCCATTTTCAATGCCGGTCACAAAAACCTAAGACTCATCATGATTTTGATTCTGATATTTTTGCTTTGTTATGGAGAAGCTTATGGTATCATAGATAAACTGATGAACTTAACATTCCCACTCAGACTGTTTTTTTACCAATTTGAGTATTAAATTTACACCATTGTTTTAAGCTTTCTAATGAGTCAATCTGCAGGACACCTACTCGATTAAGTAACAGTGAACAATCCTAATAATAATATTTCTCCTGTCAGTAACTACACTTAATTCTAGGTCTCAGTGGGCTGTGCTCTAATAGCAGACGTGGAGAGTAAACACTAGGTTAGGGATTTAAGTCACTGTCTGAGGATGTTTAAATGACGCACATCTAGACAAGTAACTCATTACTTTTAAATGGTAAGTGACAACATAATTTTTACATACTGTACATACAGTCTAATTCCCCAAAATCACCACCAGTTTCTAAAAAACTATTACATCTTTAACCCCAAAACTTTTTCTAATGCCAGGAAAAGTTGGTTGCTTTTGGAAAAGGCATGGTCTGTCTCACACAGGCTGATGTCTCAACCTCTATTCCACCCCTCTGGTCTTTCCAAACTCAAACTTTTGGTTCAGAGGGGAGTGTTGCATAGATGGATGATGGACTATTTTTAGCTTGAGGCAGATGTAGGGAAAAGTTGTATTTCCAGGCTCCCAGAACTCAGGCCTGAGTTAAGGCCTTAGAGGAAGTTTGAGGCCTTTAACTTTACCTCCTCTAAACGTCTTTCTGAAACTCCTTTAACGATAAGCTGGTGCAGACTTTTTCTGTGCTTTTCTTCCTCTTAATTCCAGGAATTAATCTTTAACTGGGCTTACCCTTTAGGTTTTCTGAACTTTGTTCAAATTTAATCTTCCACCATGAATTCTAGCGCATTGCTCTGTTTATTTATTCTAGTCCTAGATTGTTCTAATTGCTTTGTTTTTTCCATCTTTGCTGGCAGAGGGAAATATTAATTTGTGTCTTCGTACTCATCCTTGATGCGCGTACAAGTCTGAACATCTCCAGATCATTGCTTTCAGCATGAGTGTACTTGAAATACTTTCATTCTTACTTGGTTAAATTCATGAAACCTCATGTTAAAGCAATAATATTTCATGTTTTAATTAATTTCGTAAATTGTTTTCAGAGTTTCTGTGCTGTAGCCAATAATTTAACTCTGATCAAATGGCAAAAGATCCAGGCAGAATATAGTCAAGCATGTGTATGCATCTGTGATGCTTCCCTGAACCCATTTAACAGGTTTGACAGAACCTGTTGAACTGATTCGTGCTTTCGCCTCTTTGCTTTAGCCATTGGGCTTAATAGCGTTGATGGTGATAAATAGAGCGAGAATAACACCCAGAACACAATCGCTCATCCTGTGTGCTTTTTTATTTATTTATTTATTTTTTCACACTCTTACTGTACTGACAGATAAATGCCGACAGGCATTTGGCAAAAGGCCTCTAGAACAAACAAACCGACACAAAAACCCATTAAGGCCTTTTGGACTGGAGAGATGACTGAAACTGGCGCTGTTACACTCTCCTGTCAGCGTGGTCCTTCACCACATGGAAATCACGCTTTGCATGTACACACCTTATTTGCTGGCTGTCTATCTATCTATCCTTTTTTTTCTGATTTATTGGGTTAGGTGGTGTATAGTTATAATATAGGTTAGGTTTGAAGTGCTCCACTGTATGATTATAGTCTGAGGTAATTGCAGGCTATGTGTGGATATGGGTGTGTGTCTGTATGTGATCTCTTACTACTACTGACAAGGCTGCGTCTGCTTCTTTTTTTGTCTATAGAGGAATGCCCCAGCCCTGCTTTTCTACTCTGCATAAGACATTGTGAGGGTTTTGGGTTTTATTTTCTTATATTTGCTTTGGAGCTTTCAGGCTTTAAATCTGTCTTATGGCAGATCTCTTCTGTGGTTCGATGAAATGGTGACCAGATGATCATGATGATAACAATCATGACAAGTAGGGGGGCATGGCCTATAATTGTTAGTGCAAACTCTTCACGGGGTAGACCTTCCTGGTGTGATTGAAGTTAAAGAACAGAAAGTAAATTTAAAGAAACATTGTTTTTTGAAAATGGCTTGATAGATCTGATTATTGGACTCTGTAATGAGTTGATATGCATGACAGAGTTAAAGGTTTGCTCATTAGAATTTATTTTAAGATATGTTTTCATCTAATATGGAGTAGTTTTGTTTTATTAAACTTTGTTCAATTTTTTTAATATATAATTTTATGTGTAAAATCACTTTGTCAGATGGCAGGTAATAAAATAACATTTTGCATAAAATCTCTTAGGCCTATTTGTGCAAGTATGCACATGCATGCCAAGCAATGTAGTTTTCATGTATTTTATTATGATCTCTGGTCACCCTATCTGCCAAAGGCATGAAAGGAACACAGTAGGATCGAATCACTAGATTAAAATGAGATGCAAGACAAATAGTTTACAGAATTTGGCAAACTTTTCCTAACTGCTCTTGTTAATTTTGGAGGTTGATCATTAAGCTAATGTGAAAAATGGCCTTATAATGCCCTTCTTGCCAGTTTGCATGCTCTGATGAGCAGTGCATTTCAGATTGATGAAATCAAACTGCATCTGTCCTCAAAAGGTTTTTTTATGTCAGTCGAGCTCAATGATCCGTCACGTTGTTCTCAACTATTTACTTGGTTTTTATTGTATTTGTTATACTTGTATTTTTAAAATTGTTTTTTGCCATGAAAATAGCTTTTGATGCGGACATGGCATTAAATAAATATGTATATTATACTATCAACTATTTCCTTAACGCAAGGTCAGAACTCTC